GAGATCATGACCTGAGCTGAAGTCGAACACTCAACCGAATGAGCCACCCAGGCGACCAATCTATTCTCTCTCTTTCGGTTTGTTTAGATCAGTTGTTTGTTCAAACTAAGTGAATGCACTTTATAGGTTTCCCCTCAAAAAAAAACCTTCTTTTAATTAATGCAACTTACTTGGTTAAGGGACAGGGTTGTCCTCTAGAGTTTTCTGTGTTCTTTACGTCAGTGACTACATCCCTGTGGTGCCACTTATCGTGTTCTTTTGTTCTTTTGTCTCCCAAGTTTCTTGTGAAGTGTAGGTAACTCTAGTGGCTTGGCCCGGTGCCTCTTTAATTTTGGGGCAAGAGTGCTGCATAGGGACAGCATAGTCTACCATGGAGAGGACAGACATGGCTACTTGCCAATGCCAGCTTTCCTGGGCTCAGCACGCCCTGACCGCTCCGTTCCTCTGCTCACCTCCATTTGCATTCATTCCTTCTGTTATTCTTTACTCAGTCTTCTGGGTGGTCAGGCCCGGAATCCTCCTCCTGCTTCCAGACAGTTCTCCCCAGAGTTAGTGGTGGTGGTGGTCGGCCAGTGTGTCTCAGGTCGAATTATGTTGGGCATTACTGGAAAGTTCCAAGCCAAAGCCTGTGGTAAGTCCCAACCAAACTGAATTTTGAAGGAAATTTTGTTTAAGCTGCAATCCTGGAAAGCAGCCAGGCTCCACGCCGCCTGGCAGGCGGAGGCATCCGTCAGAGTACGAAGAGCTGGGACCTTTACTAATCATTCAGACCCAATATTGGCATTTTCTGGAATGAGCTCTGCCACGATAGTTGGTTGTTTGTGCTGCTGTGACGCATTTTCATTCCTAGTTTCTAGCTGCTTGGCTTACTGAAAAGTGCGTATTTTCACCAGCTGCTGGACCTCGGAGCTCCGTAGGTTTTTTTTGTTTTGTTTCTTGTTTTTTGTTTTTCACAAGATATTATAACGTTTGAGTTCCAGATACTCCTGAAATCATGGACACCTCGATTCCAATCCTGAAATTTTAAGAGTTAGTAATGGCACCTAATCTAGGAAATTCTTGGCTGGGATCCCAGGTACCAATCAGCTC